AAAACAAATATACATATTTATCATAAAATATCGTCACAATCTGCATTTGCAACATCATTGCGTGACCGTCCTGTTGTATTCAATTCTCAACATGTTGATGATCTCAATCGAAAATATTCAATTAGTTCAAATGAACCAAGACATTTACGAATTGATGAAGGTAGCCTGCAAATGACAAATGATCCAAATAGTGTATTTTATCGACGTTTAAGTCAACAATTACAAAATACAAGTCCAGCTGATGCTCGTTCGACATATGAAAAGGAAAAACTGAAGTTTTTTGACCAATATGATTCAAAACTTGTCGAATTTCTCAAAGATCGAGAAGGCAATCTGAAATCAAAATATGACAAAGCTTTTATCACGTAAATCTTCTGATCATTCTCGGACTATTGATATTTGATCTTCATGTTTTAAAAACAAAATACAACAATAAAATCTGCTCCGCAAAATTGATACTACGGTCTTATCATATATATAACAAAATTGTTACATCAGGACATATATATTTAATACATGTATTTATATGAGATAGATTCGACGACAATCCGAGTAAAAATGATTGAGAACTTTTATCATTTTAAATTCAATTATTAGTGATGAAAATTATGATCTTGAATCATATAGTACGATTATTCTCGTCAATATAAATATTGAATGTAAATAAATAATTTCATTTAAAGGATGACAGAAAAACAACATCGACAAACAACATGCATAAATGTTGAGTTTTCATATCTGCGAAACAAAAAGCATATGGAAATATAACTTATATATATATGTTAACAGAAAATTGTTTAATCATAGAATATTATCGTAAAGGAAATACTTGATCAATGGTCAAACATATTTCTAAGATTGGATCTCTCTTCAATAAACTGCCTGTATATAAACGATAGGTAGGACGGCCATAACGAGATGTGAAACTATAAATAATATTGTCCTTGTCATCATCATATATTTGCTTATGATAGATAACAGAAATACGCACGTCAAGATAACGAAGGTGAGGTAAATCAATGTCGATAAGATTTTTCCAATTATTATCATCAAGCCAATCAACTTTAGCAGTATGAAAATCAATCATAGATAATGTTTCTAAACATTTAAAATGTTTAAGCAATTCTCTACATTGATGAAATGAAAGATTTTTTAGTCTTTTTAAAATTAAAGTATGTACATAATATAAATTAATTGGAAATTTATTAAGTAATTGTTCATATGAACTATTGTGCCATAATTTAAGTGTATTAATTTGCCATGGAGGAATGTCAGGTAGAATACATTTGAGATAAAGATTATTTTCTCTAATTGAATGAATAGCAAAACCTCGTATACATGAAAAAGCGATCAATTGATTGAAACGTGTATTTAGACCATAGAATATAGTATAAATATCGAACAATGTAAAATAATCAAAAAGTTCCAAAAGTAATTCATTTGGTAATTGTTCAAATGAAGTATATTTCAACGTACGACATTTTCTTCTCTTGTTACGAACTCTTTGCTCATCTCCAGATGACGATGATGAAAGACAAGTAAATTTTGCACATAAAAATTGAGCGAAAGTATGTGATGAATTTGACATCTAAAAGTAAATGAAGTAATACAATTCTGTTTTGTTTCTCTTTCACTGAAATGAACACAACACAAAAAAAAAAAAAGAAGAGAAAAATATCTTGACACATTAAATGGCCAATCCAATATGCTTTCATTTGACTAGAACTGGTTTTTGCAGGATAAGGAGGCTAAGAAAAAGCTACTGATTCGCTTTTACTCGTCAACCAATGATACAAGTAAAGAATGAAAGAAAATGTTAGCAGTATTATATAGCTCACTGCATATCTATAATAAAAATGAACCATTGACTTGTAATACAACGGCAAATAATGTCAAACATTTTTCTATTCTATTCTGTGTGAGATATATGAACGACAAGTGTTATGGAGTAGAGAATAGATAAAAGAACTTCAATAGAATATAAACTTTTCTTTAAGAACTTGTTTCAGAAAGAATAATTTTGTTAATGATTATTCTATATGCTAGAAAATAATATTATTTTAGAAGAGAATTAAGAATAGTTTTATGATTTCAAATATAATAAACAATAGATTTTTATATTAAATAAGAATTTATTGATAGTACGATTTATTAGTATTAAGAAAATAAGATTTTTGGAAGATTTATTCATGTTGAATTCTTAATATATCTGAAATTGTTGTAGAATGCAATCATCATAGTCTACTCATCAAAAATATTTGCAAAAAAGTTTTTTTTTTGTTTTCAGCAAACATATTTCCGCTAAACTTCAAAGACATTGTTTCAAACCCTTTGAAGAGCTTTCTTTTTCTACTATAAGCGCAAAAAAAATGTATTCAAGTACACGTCCTTTACGATATATTTTATCAATATAAAATGCGTATTTTTCTTGCACGTTCTTCTCTATCCGTTTGTCAATATCATACTTACACTATTCTATTGCATGTTTCAGTAACTTCTCTATCTCCGTTACAGTCTAACAGAAGGTTGAAGTATAAATCAATCAGATGGATCATTCGTATATCGATTATACTTCAACTTTTGCTGTACTAACTATTCTATATGTCTTTTCTTAAAATCTTAAGAACTTTTAGCAAAGAAGTGGCCATGAAAGGTGCAATAGAATGATGTAAATGTGATAAAATAAGTACCCACACACCTCAATAGAAGACCACCTGCATACACAGCTTGACAGGCATATTACAAGGTTCAGATTGTCTTATTTAACGAAAAATTATTTCTTGCGTTATCTGTGTGTCGAATTTTTTTCCTATACATTTTATGAGATAGATATTTCTTATATGCAATATGAAAAGCAGAATAAATCAAATACAATAATATGTAACACTAACATCTATGAAAGAAAAGTAAATAATTTTTCTTTTATTCTTTCTAATTAAAAGAATGAAGGAAAGTGGAATAGATAACAAATGAAAAGTCGATCAATGACGATAACATTTACTTTTTTTTTGTTCTCGTAAATGATTATAATGATTTCGATCATAGATCAAATGAATCGGAAGATGAAGATTTCATCGAAAGTGATATCAAATGTAGATAATAAAGAACATCAAATTCTTGATATGACTAAATATTTAACTTTTAGGTCTGATGATAAATCAGAAATTGATGATACCGATAATTACTATTCTATATCTGATGACACATGTTTTAAATCTAATTCTGATGCATCAGATGATGATCTATCCGAATATCATCCATTAGACATATCTCTGACATCTTCATTATCTCATTTATTGTCAATGACAATTGATACAATTATATCAAGTAGTAATAAAAAGAAAGAAATGTCAAAACATAAACGTCGACAATGGTCCATACAGGAAAAGCGCGAGACTTTAGCTACACTTAAATATAATGATAGTACACATAAGAGATCCCGAAACTCGGCGAAATACGTCGCGAGACAAGGCGGTACGAAATTTGGCGAGTTACTCACCTGCTTATTATACAGTTTTTGCTGCATAGATATTATAATAGATTCGAAAAAAAAAACAAAAATAGATAATCAGATTAAATAAAATAACTATCATATACATAGATCTAACAAGAAGAGAAGAATAGATGAGAGTTCAATAAATAATTTAGTATATAGTTTCTATAAAACATTTAAATTTTGTCAAAAATTCTATAGTTTTTTCAAGCCTCTAGTAAATACGCCCACCATCATCAGTAAACAATAACAACAACAACACAAAATATAGAGAACAATTACATGCATTTATATCCAACTGAATGGTTTAATAAGATAATATTTTGAATAAAGAGAGAGAATATATGAAAAATTTATTTGAATCTATATTTATGTAATAGTTTTCTATATTTTATTTTTTGTTATTATTTCGTGATGATGCTAGGCATGCTAACTAAAAGTTTGAAAGAAAAAATAGAGTTAAAACGTGTTTTCTGTTACTGACATACTTAATTATTTATTTTAATTATCATTCAGTCTCCTCTTCCTGTTGAATTTATATAAATGATAGTTATTCACGTTTTTGTCACATTCACGTTAATTGACTCTATGATATGAATTAAAAGTATGAAATCTCCAGAAAATCATTGACCAAAAAGAAAACTTTATATTTCGATCATAGTTCTATCGGCGTCGCTTTTACTCGTATGCCGATCATGAAGAATTTGTTAGTCGTAGAATTAATCCTATGGTTATTTCTAATATGATTCTTTACTTCGATCAACCGTGGCTCTCAAATATTGGACATGTACTTTTCGATGGACTCTATCCAGCATATGTAGCTCTCATTCGCTTTCAACGGAAACATCTTCAACCGTTTCGTATATTGCTTAGTACCATGAGTGACAGTAGTAATCATTCATTTAGTCAAGATTTTTATAATGTTTTTGCCAGACTTGGCACTATGAATGCTAGTGTCCTAGAAGAAATGTCAGTCGAAAGATGACTTACTTTTCAGGAACTGGTGATGGAGGGTGTGGGATGTGAGTAAACTTTCTTGTCGAAACATGCCAATACTTATATCGATACATTGACCATATATGTTATGAACGAGTCTAGGATAATTTTTCATTGTTACTTGAAGACGTGATCCATACCAATAGGTTCATAATCATCCTCAGAGTTTGCTCGAAATGCAAAAAAAAAA